AGAAAGAAAGAAAGAAAGAAAGAAAGAAAGAAAGAAAGAAAGAAAGAAAGAAAGAAAGAGAAAGAGGGAAGGAAGGAAGGGAGAAAGAGCGAAGGTACAGTGAATGAGATAAGAATGGATGGACAGATGGATAGAGGGAGGGAGGGAGGGAGGGAGAGAAAAAGAAAAGGAAAGAAGGACCACAAACCCTGGTACTAGCTGCAGCTTCAGAGATTGCTGTGAAACAGCACAGCAATCCGGTCCTGGAAGGGACCTCGGAGGTCATCTAGTCCAGCCCCCTGCTCCAGCAGGAGACCTTATATCATCTTGATAATTTTGGTGCCTCTAACATAGAGGAGAAATTTCCAGAAATCCCTAGGTATTGCCAACCTCTCCTCCTTAGTAAAAAAAAACCTAGAGAAAAACTTCATGAAGTATTAAAAAGAAGAAAAGGGGACTGCTGTGTATTGTTTAATGGACTGCTAAATTGGCAAAATGGACTGCTAAATTGGCCATGCCCACCCAGTCACATGACCACCAAGCCATACCCACCAAGCCATGCCCATAGAACTGGTAGTAAAAAATTTTCAATCCTACCACTGCATAGCAGGGATGAGATTCAGCCGGTTCAGGTGAACCAGATGTTAAATTTACATCTGGTTCACCGAACCAGTAGTTGAACCAACCGGCTGGCCCCACCCACCCCACCCCTCCCAGGATGTCTCCCCGCAGCCCACTTTGGATGCAGGTAAGTGCAGGGTCTACATGGAGGCTCTGGGAGGGAAAAACCGGTCCGCCCAGAAGTTCTTGAAGTCCAGAAACAGGCCTGTTTCCGGTTTCCGGAGGGCCTCCGGAGCCCAGAGGAGGCTGTTTTCACCCTCCCGGAGGCCTGAGGGAAGCCTCCGGACGCTGAGGAAGGCGAAAAATGGCCCTCCTGGAAGTTCTGGTAGGCCACACCCACCATGGCCACACCTACCCAGCAACCAGTTGCTAGGATTTTTGAATCCCACCCCTGCTGCATACTCAATATAAGTTGCCATGGTTAATGGAAATGCATATCAGGATGTCCTGTAAGTCTAGTTCCAAAAAGAAAGCTAGGAGAATGGGTGCATCAGAACAATCCTATTCATTTCATGTGTATAGACCTGTAAGTGGATAGAAGAGTTACCCTTGCCCCACATTCTTGAGGATCAATGGCAGTGAAAGGCTATATATGCAAAAGGTTCTCCCACTGTGGATAGGATCTATGATTACTATGAGCATAAAAATGACAACGGCAGCAGGAACAATATCCTTCCTTTAATGCATTCGTTCATTTTATCTTTCTCTCACTGTTTTGAGGGAATTGAAATTAGTTTTTCTAATCTAGTGAAGCTAGTTGCAATGTATCTCCATTGCTTAATGGCTGGCTTCAGACTCCATTTAAGCCTCTATTTTTGTTGCATGATCCACAGTGTATCTGTTAGCATAATACACAAAAGCAAATATACTACATTATGCTTTAGAATAATGTATGCCCAGTTGGGTTATGAATTCTAGAAGAGTGAAAACTTTTGAGCTATAAGTGCCTTGGGCAGGAAAAAGGGGGCAGGAAAGAGTTGGAAAAATTGGAAAAAAAAATGCATAAAAGGACTAAAAGAATAAAAAAGATGGTCAGATAAATGACTGCACAATAGAAACATGGGAAGAAATGTGGAAAAAATGTGGGTGGAGACCCGTGATGCACACAAAAAGAAGGAGGAAGCCAACTTTGTAAAAGAAGCAGTTCAAGCTTTCTATTATTGCAGAAAGAAGAGAAAATGGATACTCTGAATCAGGTTTGGGAGGAGTCTGTCACTTTCTTCCCAACCTGTTTGCACGATTCTTATTGAGTCCACATTGTGATTTGGAGGTCACTTACTCTATGGAATGACATTACCAATCACATGGTGGGTTGGTGTCAATGCTATTTAAGAGCCTGGACACTTTGGAATGCCACCTAAACTTCTCCTTGTGGAAATCTAACTGAGACTCTTAAAGTTCCATCCATCACTCTGCATACACTCTGCACACACAGATGCAGCTCTGAGAGTTGCATCCAATGATATGGAATGTCCTCTTGCCTTTCCAAATTAGTAACCTGAGTTCATAAGTGGCCCTTTGCTCTAAGTAGCCCACTTAAGAGCATTCCTGAAATAATTTGTTCTGCCTTTCATTCTCATATTGCTGTCTTTCATCATGGCCCTGCACACTTATACATTCTGTCAATAGAAGAAAGGGCGAGAAGAAAAAATGACATAAGAAAATAAGAAGGGATGGCCTACTCACAACTGGAAATAAATAAATCAGGAAAATATCTCTTTTGATAGAGGAGAACTAGAAGCACAGGGAGATGAAGTGATTGGATTTTTCCCCCTCCTATTTGCAAAATTTTCTCTTTATATAAAACCTCAAAGCTTCTCAGACTGCCGTGTCACTCTTTTAGTATTTGGCTCCTTCTTCCAGATTCTCCATGTATGGCAAAGAATTTTTAAAGTCTTATTTTTTTGATTTTCCATTTATTTTAATTCAAGTCAAATTAAAGTTTTCATATCCTGCAGGTTCCTTGACAGGCAATGTATCTGTATTTTCCAAACCTCTTTCCAGTTGATTCTTTGTGATTACGGTAGCTAAAGATGTCCAGAGTATGAGGTTCAAGCCACATTACAGTAGTTATCAGCAAGATTTGTTAAAGGATGGAAGAGACAGAAGGAGAAGAAACTGAAATTATCTGGGCAAATGGAAAAAGATCTGAACTTTTATGAACCTTAAACCATGGATTCAGGTTTTTTTTTTTAAATCATGGTGTTTCTGACAAAAGCAGGCTTGCCTTGTTGACTGCTTTGTAAGTTGTAAGAAAAAATATTAATAGAATTTGTTAAAAGTAAATTCCTAAGATAAGTTTTATAATTTCTACCCAATATTAATATAACAAATTTGCAAAGATACTATCTTGAGTTAATAACATTTATTGGAGACCTTTAAGATTTGAAGGAGGGATTTGAGTTGGGGTCCCCTGCTCTAGAGGAATTCTCCTGATCATTCTGTATTGTAGGGACCATGTCAAAGAGAGTAGCAGTTATTGGGTCTGGAGTAAGTGGGCTGACATCCATCAAAGCTTGCCTGGAGGAAGGCCTTGAACCCACCTGTTTTGAGCAAAGCAATGACATTGGTGGCCTATGGCGATTCACAGTAAGTAGATAGAAAAATTTTAATTGCTTTCTTATAGAAACAAGTATGATATGCAGACAAAGTTTGATAAATTGGAGTATTGAAATCCTCTTGGGAATTTTCCCACTTCAAAAGAGAATCCTATACAGAGTATTCCTCTAAATCTGACAGCAATCCTAGGAAAAATGTAGTTGTGTAAACCTTTTATGAATTGAATTTTGAGGTTAATCTAGCAATTTGTATCTTTTAGACAGGATTCCCCAGGGCATATACAGACAAGATGGGTCAAAAAAGTTATATGATTGAACTCTCACCCTGTTTATGTGGATTGGATGCATGATGCATATAAAAAAGTGCAAAGCCCTCTCTTATCAACATAACATTCATCAACAATTGGTCCTAAGAATCAACCTAAGAACTGTATATAAACAATTAACATATATATACTATATATATATATATATATATATAGAGAGAGAGAGAGAGAGAGAGAGAGACAGAGAGAGACAGAGAGAGAGAGAGCTTGCAATTGAATGCTGTGTCTAATTCTAATGCTGTGTCTAATTCTAATTTGCTGTGGGCTGAGCCTTCAATAGAGTTCAACTAAAGGTACTTTGTGCATTTTATGTAGTAGTTTCAGTTCATTACAGTACTTGATTGATTATGCACCATTAAGCCATTACTGAACCTCGGTGGCGCAGTGGTTAGAGTGCAGTACTGCAAGCTACTCCTACTGTAATTTAGCAGATCGAATCCCACCAGGCTCAAGGTTGACTCAGCCTTCCATCCTTCCAAAGTGGGTAAAATGAGGACCCAAACTGTTTGGGGCAATATGCTGACTCTGTAAACTGCTGTAAAGCGGTATATAAGTTTAAGTGCTATTGCTATTTACCTTTACCACATAGATATATCTGCTCCATGATGATCTGTCCCTAATCTGATCTTTCAGATCTTCATCATCACATATTAATACTTGCTCAAAAATTCCCAGTAAATACTCTCCCAGTAGGCAAATCTGCCTGGAGACCTACTAGTATAAAAATATTGCCTCAAAATAAGATCACTTTTTATTTTCAGTGTTGCAAAGATTAAATGCATCTTTCTCAATATTGCAACTCAGATAATGTCTTGGTGTTTAATCAATACCACTTATTATTACTGACCATTACCAATGAAATATTCCAGCCTCTCATCCCCAATTGAATGCGGTGTATATATTCTATGAGTTACTTGTTGCCTAGTGTGCTTTTTAAAACAAACATTTTCTCAGATCACTAAGAGTACTATATTCTTCATACTGTTTCTAAAACAAGGCATTTATTTCTTATAGTTAAATGGCTTTCCACCTGAAGGAAAGAGATTCTTTTTTAGTTAGTCTGAGTTTTCCATATATCAATTTTTCAATTTCTGAAATATTTTTTGCATGGTTAAATTAAACAAAGCTAAAATTCTTGCCATTTTGATGGTATAGATTTGGATAGATTTGGTTCTAAGTTCATTTTTTATAGGAAGAATGCAGATAAATAAATGTGAGCAATCAGCTCAAGTTTAAAGTTAGGCCTGTCATCAATATTTGTTTAGAATGCAGAATGTAGTCTGGCTCTTGTTCATCGTTGAGAATTGATGTTAGAGATACTAAAGAACCAGTATTACAGATCATACATGGAAGCTTTCTGTGTAGAGAATACTGGAGAAAAGGTTCTTTTTATATTCTTTAGGAAACTGTAGAGGAGAGAAAAGCAAGTATCTACAGGTCACTCACCAGTAATTCCTCCAAAGAGATGAGCTGTTTCAGTGACTTTCCAATGCCGGATAACTTTCCAAACTTTCTGCACCATACAAAGTTCTTGGAATATTTGCGACTGTATGCAAAACACTTTGATCTACTCAAATATATCAGATTCAAGGTGAGTAGAATTGAATTCCCAAATGGCCATATGGATGCATTATACAAGCACTGTTTAAATTAGTGTTTTTCAAAGTTGATGACTTTAAGATATATGGATTTCAACTACCAGAATTTTCCAGCCAGCATTTGAAAAACACTGATTTAAATTTTAAAAATGGAAATCATCTCTGTAATAGTAGTACATCGCTATTAGTACATCTCAGAGGACTACACAACATGTACACTGTACATTGATATACACTGACATATATATATATCAATGTACCGGTTTAAATAAACCAATGCAACTCTAAATAGAATGAAGTACAGTAGTCTATTAACCATATAAAACAAAACTGAGAAATAACCATTTTTGTACAGAAGAGCAGTTAGTGAAATAATCAGAACTGTAAAAGGCATTCCTTTGATGGTATATTTGTTTTCCATCAACCCCAGACACAGCACTTGAACTCTGAAAGAGAGTGCAGCCCTATCGGATCTGGTTGCAGATCTCCATCCTGATTGGTAAACTTCCCAATCTAGAGTAATTCCACTTAATCTAGTTTTCTATCTAATTACTCTAGTGGTGCAGGCACCAGATGAGAACTCAGGAGACTTTAAATTCTAGTTCCACTTTAAGCTTCAAAGCGAGCCAGGTGACTTCAGGCCAGCCACTCTCTCTCAGCCCAACTTACTTCACAGGATTGTTGTTGTTGGGGAAATAGGAGAAGAGAGCAGGGGTGGGATTCAAATGTCTTAACAACCGGTTCTCTGGGCGTGGCCTAATTTGTGGGAGTGGCTTGGTGGTCATGTGATTGGGTGGGCATGGCTTGCTGACTGGGCATGGCTTGGTGGTCACGTGACTGGCTGGGCATGGCTTGTATATAAATATTGTAAATATTGATGTAAATATTGATTCTTTTAATTAAAAAAAGAGCAACTTTTACCCAAAATCAGGCAAAGCGGGCAGATTGAGTTGCTTGCAGAATCATAGATTCACTCACAGATCTACCATTCTGCAATCTGCTGCCTGAGTCTGCACTGAAAAGTAGAAGCTTCAGTCCTAAGGAAGGTTCAGCTCTGCTCTCAGGCCACTTCTCCCCGCATCCTACCCCCTGAATACCACCCCTGACTCAGGGAAGGCTCCTGGGCAAAGACAAAGCAGTACAACAGACATTTTGATTAGCTAGAAAACAAGAAATTCAATGATTTCCTGCTTTCTAGCTAATATAAATCACCTGGCACAGCTGATAGTCGGAACAGTTGATCATCAGAAAAAAGAAAAAGAAAAATAGCAACTTACCAAAAATTAATTGAAGGTACAACGTAGGCAAGTTGGATGGCATGCATGCCAGGTAAGGAGTGACTGGGGAGGGAGGGGAGGGGCAGGGACAGCCAGTGGTGTGATTTGCCAGTTCTCTGAACTGTGCAGAATCGTTTCAACCAGTTCTATAGAATTGGTCCATACCGGTAGAATCCCACCCCTGGAAGAGAGGCATGTTCACATCTTGAGTTATTTATAAAAACAATAAAGACAGGATAAAAATAAATACAGGTAGTCCTTGACTTATAACTGCAATTGAGTCTGCCTATTACGATTGCAAGTTGTAACAATCATTAATAGAAATGTCAAGCCTAATGGTCCCCCATCCCTGCTCTCCCCAATGAATCATTAAATGAATGTACAGGTTGTTAAGTGGAGAACTGGGTGCCTCAGGGGTGGAGCAAACCCTTGGAGGCCTAGTGCAGTCTCAGGCCTGCCTGCTGCAGGCCTCTCCCACTCTTGAGGGACTTGATGTTCCCTGTCCCTTGGGATTCCCCCAGGCCGAGTCCTGCTAACAAGCTGGCCCTGAAGCCAAGCAAGGGAGCCTAAAGGAGCTATCAACACAGGGAAGAAAGTTATAGCTTGTAGGCCTCAGCCAACTGCCTATCCAGCCACTCACTTCCAGGGCAAAGCAGCACCCAACTTCCTTTTATTTTTTGCAGAGGAGCATCTGTCTGTCTATCTGTCTGTCTCTGTCTCTTTCTCTCATTCTGATTCTCCAGCACTCTCTGGGTCTCACGTGTACTTCTTCGGTCTTTGTTGGTGCTCAGTCGCTCAGGGAGATGCATGACCTACTCTCCACCCTGAGACACTTTCCCACCCTGGCTGTGGCCAATGCTCCACATCTCCAGGAGAAGAAGGGGATGCCATCTCCTCCATTGTGAAGTGTGCTAAATTTAACTGTGTTGTGCAAGGCACAGCAAGAGCAGGCTGGTTCAGTGTCTCAAGGTGGAGAGGAAGTTGCACGCCTCCCTGAGTGACCAAGGTGCACACAGCACCAAAAAGGGCAGAAAGAAGGGCCCGCGAGACCCAGCAAGAGATGAAACAAGTACAGGGTGCTTTGCTCCCACTCTGGAATATGGAGAGAATCTCCATCCCCCACCCTTACCTTCTCAGGGAAGGCAAGGAGTGATTGGGAGGGAAGGGCGAGGGGTGGGGCCAGACACTGGTGAGTTCAGCAAACAGGGAGCCACAGCAGGGGGACGAAAGAGCTGCGGGTTCCTGACACCCATTGCTTTGGCCTGCTTGCACTGCTGCCACCCCCCTCCCCACCACAACAGCACCATTACCTTGTTCTGGCCAGCAAGGGCTGTGCTATTCCTTGTACATTGTACCTCCTGCAAAGTTGCACGTTGCACGTACCACCCTCTATGGTGGAGATTTCCAGCCCCCACCATGAACTGCCTGGCCAGTCCTATATTCCAGAGCTCTAGTCACAGGACTGGCCCATTGGTCATCCCGGAGCAGCTCCTCCACCTGGGTACACTGTGGACCACCAAAAATTTTCTCACGGACCACTGGTGGTCTGCAGACCACTAGTTGGTGACTGCTGATCTATAGAACATTTTATACAAATTTTCTTTATATGCAGTTGACATAGTCAATTTAACATTTATATCCCACAATTTCTGCCATTTATCTAGTTCTATTGAATAACCAAAATTTTTAGCCCAAACAATCATTGTCTCCTTTACCTGCTCACTTTCAAGTTTAATACCTAATAAGTAACAATATATTTTCTTTATCAGTTTTTCATCTGTTCCAGTTAGTATCTGGTCCAATTCTGTTAATTCTTTATTGAAACCATACATTTTAGCATCTTTCTCATATCAAGACTGTATCTGCATTTGTTGCCACCATGCAATGTCTGTCCCTTGACTACTAAGTTTCTGCTTGGTTTTTAGTTCCCCTTTTTCATTCAAAATATCTTTCTATCTTATAATTTTTTCCACATTGATAACGTTAGGATATATCAATGCTTCCACTGTGGAAAGCCAGACCTATATTTTCAAATAATGTTGTTCTTTAATTTTAACCCATACTGATAATAATGCATTTCTAACATGATGTCTTTGAAAATAGCTATGTATCTTATGCTCCCCATACCATAAAAAAGCATGCCAACCTAGTTGAAGGTCGTGTCCTTCTAAAATTAATAGTCTTTTATGCCTCAAATTGATCCATTCTTTCACCCATGTAAATACCAAGGCCTGATAATACAATTTCTAATCTGGCAACCCAGCCACCCCTCTTTTTTCAGAGTCTTGCAACATTTTCAAACCTATTCTTGCTTTTTTCCCTAACCAAATATATCTTAATATTATTTTATTTAGTTCTTCAAAATATTTTCCCCCAATTTTATTGGAGTTGTTTGGAATAAATATAATAGTCTTGATAAAATGTTTATTTTTACAGTAGTTATTCTTCCTGTTAATGACAATAGCAGATCTTTCCATTTCTCCAAATCTAATTAATTTGTTGCATCAGTTTCATATAATTATCCTCCTTAATTGTTGCACATTTTGCTGTTGGTTGTATCCCTAAGTAGTTCACTTTTTTGATTATATATCAGTTCTTTCAATCAACACTCTTTTTTGTGTATCTGTGAGGTTTTTAACTAATTTTTTTGTCTTGTCTTTATTTATTTTCAATCCTGCAACATCCCCATATTCTTCTATCTTTCTAATTAACTTCAGTCCAGTGGTTCTAGTGGGTCTTCTAGTATAAAGACCAAATCATCTGCAGATGTCTGTAGCTTGTATTTCTTTTTTTTATTTCCATATTTTCTATTTCTTCATCCTGTCAAATATTTCTGGCTAATATTTCCAGAATCAGTATAAATAGTGAAGGGAACAGTGGACATCCCTGTCTAGTGCCTTTTTTTATATCAAAGTTCTCTGTCATGTCCCCATTTACCATCACCTTAGCTGATTGTTTGTGATACATTGTTTTAATCATATTAATAAAATTCTCCCCAAAGTCCATTTATTTTAGTTGTAATAACATAAATTGTCAATTAACATTGTCAAATGCTTTGTGTGCATATTATTTTTCTTTTAGGGGTTCCAAGGTCCAAGTTTTGCATTCCCAAAAAGTTTTGAGTTCAATAAAATCCAATTAATATTGTCATTAAGATAGCCAGTCCAATTTTCCTCTTTTAACACTTATTTCTCTCAAATAGTTCACTTCTTGTCCAGAACTATTTCATCGTTTGTGCTTATTCACTGCTACTCTTAGGGGGTGGAAGGTATACAAATCCACCTCCCTCTTTTACAGTCCCTCTGTCACTCAAGCCAATTTTTAAAGGGGAGAAATTCGTCAACAGAAGTTGGAAAATTCTCACCCAGTTCAGCCACACTGTTCCTCCTCAATCTTCATTCATTCTTCTCCAGTTGGGCTGTCACAGTCTCAGTCAGGCATGCAATGGCCATCTTTTTCTTCCTACTGGATTGAGAGCTTTCCTTCAGATCAAACAAGAGTGTCCTCTCTTCTTCACCACCCCTCCAGGGTGGCTTAGGTCCCAAGAGACCCTCTAGCACAGGGGTCCCTAGCCACCGGGCTGCGGACTGGTACCAGTCCGTGGAACATTTCCTACCGGGCCGCCGGTTTGCTGGGCGTCGCCATCTTGTTTGACGAGAAAGTGCTTCCGGGTGAGCTTTTCCGGTTGGAAAGTGGTGTTTGGGTCCTGAAGGAATCCTCGCGCCTTAGTTTCATTGAAGGGGGGGGCGGCTTCAAACAAAACTAAGGCGCTGGGATTCTTTCAGCACCCAAGGCAAGGTGAGCCAAGCGACCGTGCCAAAGCCGTCCCGAAGCGAAGCCCATCGACAAAGGTACAAAGGAGGAGTTGAAGGTGGCGGGGAGAAGCGGAGGATGGCTGGCTGGCCGGTCGCTCGCTCGCTCACCTTGCCTTGTCATGTGTGCTGATGCCGGTACCGGGCCGTGGATCATTTTGTGATGCCGGTACTGGGCCGTGGCACAAAAAAGGTTGGGGGCCACTGCTCTAGCAGGAGGAATTTGGCAAACTTCCATAGAGCCCTATGGAAAGTAAACAATATCACTGTGACAACAGCTTTGATTTCTTGGAAGGCTCTGTTTTTTTAAGGTTATTTTAAAAAAGATCCTATGAGTTTGCTCCCTAGTGTCTCTGTAATTTTTTCACAATCTCCCTTGTTCCCAAAATGTGCACTGTGCAACAGTCAAAAGTCTCTCTTCCTCCAATCCACAGGAAGAATGATTGGTGTACCATATTTATTCCTCACTGACAGATAACATTTAGTGAGAGATAAAACAAAGCAAAGCACCTTAATTTGTTCCACATAAAATCTGTAAACACAATTCCAACCAATCAGCCTTGTCATTTCTTCTGGCTGGAGAAATGCATATCAAACATGGCAATTGTGTAAATCCCAGGCTTGTTCTTTAGCTTCATAGCACTCAAGGAAACAAAATGAGACAAGCAATTTTAGCAGCCAACAATTACTGTATATAATAACTATGACCTTCTCTGTTTTTATATTAGTCTCCAGTTGTCCATGTAGAAAAATGTGAAGATTTCTCTACCACTGGCCAATGGAATGTGATTCTAGAGAAAGATGGAAAGCAGGAATCCTTCACCTTTGATGCTGTCATGGTCTGTACGGGACACCAGATAGAAACATATACTCCATTAAATTCTTTTCCTGGTATGGCTTGGCTTAACAGAACATGGAAGCTATGAATGTTTTTGCAAATGTTTAGGAATAGCACATTCTAGTCCCAGAATCCAGTGATTGGGGATGAGATAAATTCAGCTCTGTCATAGAGTTCAATGAAGTAGCTATGGATTGTGCTGGAATGTTGGGATGCAGAGGGATGTTTAATTATATCTTTTTAAACATTACATAACAAAGAACTTGACTTCTTGCCTGGCACCCAGATGCATTTGTAAATTGAAGGGAAAATGTTACAGACCAGAAAAATATAATCAGAAACAGTATTTTACTTAGCTTTTTATATTTGATTATAATTTTATAGATTATATGTATAAGGAGAGATTGAAGGAAGTGAGTAAGTACAGCTTGGAGCATAAGAAGGAAAGGGGAGGACATTACTGAAACCTTTAATTATATTAAGGGTGTGAATAAGGTTCTAGAAGGCAGTATTTTCAACATTAAGCAAAAATCAATAACACGGAACACAACCTCAAAGTGACAGGAGGAAAGTTCAAAAGTAATGGTAGAAAGTATTGCTTCACAGAAAGAGAAGTGGAAGCTTGGAATCAACTTCCAGTGGAGGTAGTGAGTCAGTCATATGTTTAAACATGCCGGGTTTAAACATGCCTGGAATAAACACATATCCATTATCTGACAAAAATTGTATTATTATGTACTTTATTCATTAAACATAAAACTCAGTCAACTGAACATTTAAAAATGTATCACCAATATTAACTGGAACTGATGGTTGATAGGGGTTGCTGCCAGCATCCTAGGTATCAACCAAATATTGTTGCAGGAAGCCGCAATTTCTTGATATACTGTGTACAGTTCTTGGACATGGTGCTAAGTGTCCCGATGACAGTGGGTATCAGTGTCACATGTTTCATCCATAATCGGATATTTTCAATGGCCAGGTCATGATATTTCATGATTTTTTTTCTAGTTCTTTTTCTTTGACTCTGGCGTCTCCTGGTACAGCGATATCAATAAATTGTACGCTTTGGTTTTTGATAACTGTGATATTTGGTGTGTTGTGCTCTAAATGATGATCCATCTGTATTCGAAAGTCCCACAAGATCTTCACCTTCTCATTTTCGACAACTTTTTCCACTTTGTGTTCCCATGACTTTTCGGATAAAGTAAGTCGTATTTTTTACATAATGGCCAGTGGATTAGTTTAACAACTTGGTTGTGTCTAGCTTTGTAATCAGTTGGTGCAATTTTGCTGCATTCACATATTAAATGTGAAACAGTTTCAACTTTGTCATTGCAAAGTCGGCAGTTTGGATTGTCAGTGTTTTTTTGTATCTTCGCTTTCATGGCATTAGTTTGTAGTGCTTGCTCTTGAGCAGCAAATATTAAACCTTCCATTTCTTTCTTGATGGTTCCCATTTTAAGCTATGCCCATGTCAAGTTGTCATCACATTTTCCTTCAATGTTTTTTAAGTGCTGTCCATTATATTATTATTATTATTATTAATATTAATATTAATATTAATAATAATTATTAATATTATACAAATTTTACAATAACAGCAGCAGACATGCAAAAAACTGTGCTACTTGGAACATCGTACATTTTAAGAAGATGGTTGATACCTAGGATGCTGGCAGCAACCCGTATCTACCATCAGCGCCAATCAATTATATCTGTGATACATTTTTAAATGTTCAGTCGACTGAGTTTCATGTTTAATGAATAAAAGAGATAATAATTTTTAAAAACCAAAGAAATACAATACCTCAAAGGGCACTAGGTCCACTTGATGGACCACTTGAACTTTTTACGCTGTCAGTTTTCTATGTTTCTATGTTTTGTTGTATAGATGCAGCATTTGTCAAGAAAAAATGAAGAAAAAAATCACTTTTCTTTATATTCTTGCTTGAAATTCCATGATTAAAAAGATTTCTTTTCTCACCCATGATATCTATGTTTATCCCTATGTCATTCTTGATGTAAATTTTTATCCTGAGTCCAAACAAAATGTTACAAAAAGTTACTAATTTTGCAACATATCCTTTATGTCCAGTTGTGCGAACAAAAAGATGAAAGCAAATCATGTAGTACTCTTTATTTTTATATTATAGCAAGCTCACATTTTAACTTCTTAAAGAGGGAAGGAATTGAAATTCTACATGGAGGAGAAGGGATGGCACACCTTTTCTCCTTCCTCTTCCTCTAGTCACAGCTGCCTGCTGAAGTTTACCCATCTGCTGCAGAGGGAAACAAGGCATCAGTACTTTGTTTCAAGTTTGGTCTTTAACATGTCACTGGGATAGAAGGCTATGAGTTCACATAATCATATTTGTAAATAGTGATGTGATATAATTAACAATATTTTCTTGTACATTACATTTTAGTCACATTTTAAAAAATGATTTAGAAATAAAATACTAGAGAAAAGTAAAGTCCTACACTTAGGAAAGAAAAACCAAAAATACACATATAGACTGGGTGAAACAGGCTTAATAGCAGTAACTGTGAGAGGGATCTTGGAGTCTTAGTGGACAACCAGCTAAATATGAGCCAGCAGTGCATAAGCGCACCAACGTGCCTACTGTCCTTATCCTATTGTTTCTTTTATATATTTTTTATTTTTCTTATATGTATCCATGTATTCATAACTATGTTTTTACTTATACCTATTATCTTGTAAGCAACTGACAAATAAAATAAATAAATAAAATGAATACAGAAAGTGTGCAACAGCAGACAAAAAAGCTAATGCAATCCTAAATTGCATTAACAGAGGGATACAATCAAGATCAAGTGAGGTACTAATACCACTCTATAAAGACTTAGTAAGACCACACCTAGAATACTGCACCCAGTTTTGTCACCACACTATAAAAAAGATGTTGAGACTCTAAAAAAAGAGAAGAGCAACCAGGATGACTAGGGGACTGGAGACTAAAACATACAATGAACAGTTACAGGAACTGGGCATGGCTAGTCTAGTGAAGAAAAGGACCAGGAGAGACATGATAGCAGTGTTCCAATATTTCAGGGGCTGCCACAGAGAGGAAGGGGTCAAGCTATTTTCTAAAGCACCTTAAAAAAACAAGGAATAATGGATGGAAACTGAACAGGGAGAGATTCAACCTGGAAATAAGGAGAAACTTTCTGACAGTGAGAACAATCAACTAATGGAACAGTTTGCCCTCGGAAGTTGTGGGAGCTTCGTCACTGGAAGCTTTCAAGAAGAGATTGGACTCCCATCTGTCAGAAATGGTGTAAGGTCTCCTGCTTGGGTGGGGGTTGGACTAGAGGACCTACAAGGTCCCTTCCAACTCTGATTATCTGTTATCTGTTAACTTTTAAATATTTTCACTTCAATATTGTGTGAATTATTTCTTTCTTTCTACAACCAAAGTAGCCACATGCAACCCCAAATTATTATATTATAGTTGTGGTTTGTTTCATGGCAGGTTTCGAAAAGTTCAAGGGGAATTCATTCCACAGCCAAAATTACAAGGATTCAGAAGGATTTGAAGGGAAGACTGTTGTGATCATTGGAATGGGAAATTCAGCTGCTGACATTGCTGTGGAGATCTGCAAGAAAGCAAAGAAGGTAAAGGGAGAATAAGTTGTTTGGGGGAGATTATAATATTTCAGATGTGGTCTTAAGATTTTGCAGCAGGTCCAAAGCATGAAAGAAGACTCAATTCAAAAAGAACATGCACACGCACACACAAGAGAATAGGATTAGGGGAAGTGAAAGAGATACAGAAAAATATAGGTATAAATATAAAAATTGCATACCATACTCCTGAGGTTTTTTTTTTTTTTTACAAAAACAGATGGTTAGAAGGGATCCTTGAAAGGAGTAACATGATATTGGATCATGCATCCATCAGTTTCTTACAAAAAGAAAAATCTCCCTAGGCCTTCTCTGCTTTTCTTGAATTGTAGAATCCATTTGCCAAAACATAAAACCCAATCTTGTTAATGGAAAGCAAAACAAATTCATTCTTGGCTTCATCAAAATAAAAGAGGACAAAAGAGGTTTCACTTTTCAACCATGCAAACACTCATGTAATAATTCTGGAATAAATTCAGAATTTGCCAGATTAAAATAATCCCACATATTCTGTACCCAAATGGATTACCAAGAAAGGGAGGATAATTCCCCTTTTACCTCTAATTTCAGTGTGCCAGAATTAAAAAAACAGATAAACCACAGAAAAAATATGACTGTCAGGACTCCAACAAATCCACCCCCATTCAAATCATTAGTCTCTAGCCACATCTCAGAGAAAAGAAAATTGAGAAATTAGAAATGGACATGTTGGTTTTAGCTGGGTGCAGCCGATATTAAAATATATCATTCATTTCCCCCTTGACCCTGGTCTTCCCCCCACCTCCTGGATATGTATTCTCTAATGGGAACATCCATCCCCAAGAGTCATCAATCATGCTGTCCAATAATTTTCTTGCGCTCCAACAACTTTGGGCTGCCAGGGTGGTTATCTAGGCACTTAAGAATGCACTATTTTCCCCCACTCCCTTTTCCTGGCAGCTAAAAAGACCAAAAGAGTATCTTTTTAGATGACAAATGCAAACAAACGAATTTTAAATGTCTCAGGACAAACTCCATAGAAAAAGGCAAAAGTGATTTGTCAAATTCAAATGAATGCTATTCCAGCCCAATTCAGAGTGCTAATCTTGCTTCTGAGTTTTCCCTGTGTACATTGCTTTTTGAATAATATGAACTGCTTGCATCACAAATCTCACATATTTTGAAATTTGTTGCAACAGTTGAACATTCTGACCTTCATTAGAACCAGATAAACTTTACAATTTTGTAAGTGTTTGAATTGCTAAGAAATCTATTTCAAGCTAATTTAATGGTAACAATATTTTCAAAGAGCAAAGGATGTTTAAGATCTCTGAGCATTCACTGATCTTATAGCCACATTAAGTACTCTTCATTTCTGAGCAACAGAATAGCTTTATGGTACTAACATTTCCTTTTCTCAGATCTTCGGATATACTTTGGATATTGAAACCTCAAATTTGCTAGGTTTCATGTAGTTTGGCCTATTCTCTGACTTGGTATCATGGTTCTGTAGTATTTTTATTTTCATCATTTATTTGCATAGGAAATACCCACTAGGTGGGACATATTGGAATCCCATACCTCTACCAGCAAAGCAAAGAATTATAATATAATCAAGACAGTGGTGGGATTCAAAAAACTTTTCTACCGGTTCTGTAAGTGTGGCTTGGTAGGTGTGGTGAGGCTTGGTGGGTGTGGTGTGATGGCCGTGGCAGAGGAAGGATACTGTAAAATCTCCATTCCCTCCCCACTCCTGGGGGAAGATTACTGCAAAATTCCATTCAGTTCCCATCCCACTAACCTGCTTTCCAGCTCTGTTCTCCTGTGCAGGACAACAAAAAAAGATCCAGCTGATCAGCTGGGACTCAGGAGGCAGAGAATAGTTGGGGGAGGGGCCAGTCAGAGATGGTATTTGCCAGTTCCCTGAACTACTCAATATTTCTGCTACCAGTTCTCCAGAACTGGTCAGCACCTGTTGAATACCACCTCTGAATCAAGAGCTAAAATCTATAGCATCCCTCCTGTAACTACAGCATGAGTGTGTGGTGTATGCTGAAAAAAAAAAGCTGTTTCTTTGAGAATCAAAGCAATAATAACACCTCTAATTATAAATTAAATGATTAAAAATAACAGAAGACTATAGAAAAGTTCATATTTATAGAGTGGAAAACGATTATGAGAGCATCATGTACCTATACTCAAATGTTGCAGTAGGCTAAAGAAAAGAAAGTTGGTTTCAGGAAAAGGATAGCTTCAAAATAGATATCTTCAACCCTTCCCTTGTGGTTATATAGGTGGTCCTCAGTGCCAGGGGAGGCACTTGGGTGATGAGTCGAGTATCTGACAATGGCTATCCCTGGGACACCATCTATCACTCTCGTTTTATTAATTTTATCCGAAATTCTATCCCGTGGTTTGTTTTGAAATGGATGACAGAACAGAAGATGAATCAATGGTTCAATCATGAAAACTATGGCTTGGTGCCTCAAAACAGGTATATGAGGAGAAATGCATAATTATGTAATTGTCATGAGACTGTCTTTATAGTTATTGCTAGTTATTACAACAATCACTTGCAAAATTAGTAATTTAACCTTAAAGCTAGTCAAGGTATTGAATTGTGCTGAATTTCACCACCTGCACCATTCTGCAAAACCAAGCAAAATTGAATTGGTAAAAAATAAAATAAAATTTGATGAGTAAAGTTAAATAATCTTTGACTATCAGTATTAGTTTCCATTTATTTCTATGTTGAAAAACCACTTTAAAAACTCAGATATCTGTAAAAACATGTTTCTTACTGTGTCTCTTCATGGATCACTTTTGTTGCCTTGCTGATCTCCAGAGATTTATTCAGCAATAGCATCTACTCCTGAAATCCCTTCTACTTCTTGGGTATTAGTTTGCTGGTTGTTTTTGCAATGCAATATGAGAACTCTTTAATGAATACAGCATGGTCTTTACTGTATTGTACAGTCAAATAGGAATTAAATCGAATAGCAAAAATCAACAACCCAAATGTCTGAAATTGCAGAAAACCTCCCAATAGAGACAAGAACAACAAAAACCAATCAAGAGCAGAGCTTTCTACCTCTCCCTGTCCCCACCCGAAATGCCTGGGGAAACAGCCAAGTCTTTATTGGCTAGAGTATGTAGGAGAAGCAAGTGTGGTGTCTTTCAGTGACTTAATAGTCTTTCAATCATCTTCATTGCAAGTGTATTTGTATACTACAATTGTATAGGAAAACAGGCTGCTTTATGGAGAAAGACAAGCCTTCAAATGTCTAGTTTCCACTTTCAAGGTTTTTTTCTTTTCTTATTCTTTTAAAGAACATTAACAATGTATGCACTTTCTCAGGTTTAAAATAAATAGTGAGTTATTCATACCTATGCAAGGACAAAGTGAGAAATATCCTTTTTAAAAATGTTTATCTTTTCAACAAATCCCTCCCATCTCTACTTACAGGATTAAAGTGGGAGAAAATGTTGCAAAAAAAAATCTAGAGTTTTGAAGTTCCTATTTTCCTGATGAAAAAGAGGTTGTACCTGGCCTAAAGTCACCCAGTTGGCTTTCATGCCTAAGGCTGGACTATATCTCACAATCTCTTGGTTTATAGCGTGATGCCTTAACCACAAGACCGAACTGGCTCTTTTAAAAATTTTAATTAATTTTCAATTAAACATTTTACAATTGAAAATTAAGTTTAAAACTAGTTTTGAAAAAAATGGTAAATGTCATCAAATTTTAACAGGGAAACCGTTTTGTATAGAGTAAGAGTTATGTTGCAAAACTGTGGAGCGATGTTAGTGTAAACTGGCTTAAGAAAACTGGAATGAGTTCCTGAGGGAAGATAATGTTTATCTTCTGGGAAATGCTCTTCTCTTCACCGAATATGACAAAATTGAATTGCACAAAGTATTATGAAAGGTCAACTGGTGATACTATAGTTTTCTTAGCAGTGCTTTCCATCTATTGTTTTGTACGTTTTAGGTATTTGATGAAAGAACCAGTGTTCAATGATGACCTGCCAAGCCGTATCCTGTGTGGATATGTGAGCGTGAAACCACTTGTCAGGCAATTCACAGAAACCTCGGCCATATTTGAAGATGGGACAGTAGTGGAGAATGTAGACATTGTCATCTTTGCAACAGGCTATAGCGTTGCATTCCCTTTCCTGGACAAATCAGTCCTTGAGGTAGAGGATAATCGTGTCCCACTGTATAAGCATGTCTTCCCTCCTTATCTGGAGAAGCCAACCTTGGCTGTTATCGGTCTCATCCAGCCTCTTGGGCCTATTATGCCCACTTCAGAACTGCAGGCACGCTGGGCTACAAGAGTCTTCAAGGGTAAGATTATAAAGAGGATGAATATTTTATATAAAGTGAGGTCAACAGTGGGCATCATGACCTACAGAGTATCGAGGGATAACAAGTTGAGTTAAAAAACTTGATATCTAACATTTGACACAGGATAATAATAAAAGGAAATGAAGAACACAATATTTACTCAAGGTACAGGTAGTCCTGAGAGTACAACCATTTATTTAATGACAATTCAAAACCACAATGACCTTGGTAAAAGTGACTTATGACTTCTGCTCACATTTAAGACCATTGCACCATCCTTGTGGTCATGAGATTGCAATTCAGGCATTGGAAAATGGCTTATGTTTACAATGGTTGCAGTGTCTTGCAGTTATGTGATTGCCATTTGCAATCTTTTTTGCTGATTTCCAACAAAAAAAAGGACAAAAATGCCAATTGGAGAAGCTGAATTTGCTTAATGACCACATGCTTTGCTTAATGTCTACGTGATTCACTTAATGTCTTCAGTAAAATTTGTTGCAAGTAAGGTCCATCTCAACTTATAACCACAAAAACTTATTACAGAAATTCTGGTCCCAATTCTGGTCATAAGTCCAGGACCAACTGTAATATGTATTATTCACTTATATAAACAAACCAGAATTTATTTGAGGTTGATAAACCACAGTTTGGAAACATTAGTTTGCTGTTGGCTTTTTGATAGGAAATGCAGTTTAAAGGTCCACCAAAGTTGCAGCCTTTTTAAATAAATATAATTTCATTTATATTTATTTTTCTTAGCAATTTTCATTTTATTCAAAAAAATTAAAATACAAAACTCAATTTTAAAACAACAACAAAAAGACACAAAGCATGCAAGACATTAAAAAGGAAAAGAAAAAATCCCATCATCTTTTCACATATTATCCCCTCTAGGTTGAGTATTGAGTAATACATGGCTACACTATTAGTTCTAACCCCTTGTGAAACAGACCTCCTAATTTTTTAAAAATGAATAAATCTATTTGCAAACTACTGACCCATCATCTATATGCTACATTAATGACAAAAAAACTCCAAATATTTTGCAAATTAAAAGGGAACAAATACCTTACGATGAGAGTCCAATATTAATGTAAATAAATGAAAACACTTCAAAATCCACAAGCACATTATGTTTACATACTGAAAACAAAAGTTATTTAGAATAGCATAAATCAAAGGAAAAAGAAAAAAGAGAACAGCTAAAGTCCAGAACGGGTTTGAAATAAATCAGCATTCAGCCAGCCAATCTACTAGAGAAAAAGCAAAATAAAAATTCAAAAAGTGAAATTAAGACACAGGCATACTTTAAAAAAAAAACCCAACCAAAATGCTAACAGGAAGATGGATACCCAAGACTTTCTGATCATTCCCAAAGGGAACTGGGATCTTCAAGATTCCCTTTCCCAAATGGGTCCACAGCTGTCCCAGAATCATCTTGGGCCATTCCCTATGTGCTCCTATTCAAATCCAGGGAGGAGCACTGCCGGAGAGCAACTTTAGGCATCAAAATTGGCAGATTGCCAGCAAAAGAGAAAAATCTCCTTACTGCTCAGCAGCCATCTTGAGGAGGACTGTTTATGTTTTAAATATAACCAAATTGATCTAGATTGTTTTGACTGCAGGTACTTCTTGAGATATGACCAAAATGGAGAAAGCACATTACTGTCTCATGTTTCTTTATAAAACAGTGTTGTTCTGACTCAACCGGGTTCCCAAAGAGCAAACACAGACTAAGGCAGCAGCCCCTACCTTTTAGGTTTAATAACGAATGCTGTTCCTTTACAGATAAAAGGCTGCTTCCCACTAATTAGCTCCGACAAGAAAGAGTCTTGCCAAAGTGTTCGTCAATGCTGCCAAAAACCCAGAGATAAGAACTAATTTACAAGATTCTACAAACATGAACTAAGATGTCCGCAAGTTGAGCTTCAGAGCTTCTTTGCTGTCTGAAAAGAACGCTTTTCCAAACCTGGCTTTTATCCTCTTGAGGAAGGGGCCTTTACCTTGCAGTCTTACTCCCGAGTCGCCTGTGCTGCTATAATTGTTCTTTCCTCCGAGCAATCCTTCGTGCACGTGCACTTGGCACAGGCTCCTCGGGAACCTCATCACTGCTGCCAGCCCCCACAATCTCTGAAGGCCACTCCCTGATGGGTCTGGCCCCTCATCAGAGTCCTCGCTCTCCTCAGCCATCTGCACCTGCTGCCGGCTTACCACAACAAGTGTATACTGAAGCTTTGCAGAAGTTATCTTTGTATATTTCTTAAGCCAAGAAATATTTGTTTTCTAAATCCTTCCCCTGGAAACAACTTCACTAACATGAACTCTGATTAAGATATAGAATAGCTGGTTAGAACAAGTGGTGGCTTTTGCTTCTCTTTGCAGCCTGCCTACTTCACACAGAAGTCTATATTTCTCTCAGTTTTGTACATCTTTAAAAAATAAAAGAAGAGGAAGAGGAAAAAGAAGTATCACAATCTTCCAGCTCTATAATTTTTAAACTTTTTCAAGCTCTGGAACGTATCTTTTCTTAGATAAAAGAAAAAAAATTGATACGATAGTAAACAAGGTACTAGTGATAGAAGATTGGCTGAATTTAAGTGAACTGTTTTTTAAAATCTTTAGACTCACAGAATCCCAAGTTAATTTTTCACTAAGACACTTTACATTTGCAAACCAAGCGTTTGTGTATTGTGGAGTACTTAACAATTAAGTGTCCTATGGTTTCTATGCTCTTTCTTGAGCAAATCAGAAAACCTTATTGATAGGATCTGATTGATTATTCTACTATCTTTTGCAAGAATCCCAACTGTCATTTTTAGAAAATCCTGAGGTATAGCAATTTCAGTACTCAGCATGTGGTCCTCAATGGAATTACAGCCAGATGCAGCAGAACATGCAGTGGGGTACCCCAAGGTTCTGTCTTTGGCCCAGTTGTCTTCAATGTCTTCATAAATAACCTAGATTAGAAAATTGAAAGGGAGATGATCAAATTTGTGGATGACACTAAGCTGTGGGAAATTGGTCACACTTTGGAAGAGAGACTCAAGATTTGGAATGATCTTGACAGACTTGGACCCTAACCAACAAGATGCAACAAAGTGAGAAAATGTAAGGTCCTGCACAGGTGCAGAATAGGCAGTATCTGGCTCAACAGAAGTACTTGTGAGAAGAAGCAAGGACTTCTAGTGGATCACTGCTTCAGTACAAACCCGCAGTGTGATGCAGCTGCCAAAAAAGTCAATTCAGTTCTAGGCAGCATCAAAAAAAGGGATAGCATCAAGGTCATAAAGAAATGATAATAACCCTTTAAATAATAAGGCCACAGTTACTGTGTCAAGTTCTGGTCACCACAATATAAAAAAGAGATAAGAAAGAATGCAGAGAACAGCAACAAAGATGATTAGGGAACTGGAGGCTAAAACATATAAAAAACAGTTTCACTAGAGCCTAAACTGCAGGGTGAATGGCTAAGGGCTTAACTAGATATGTTTAGCCCAACAAACAGAAGGATTAAGGTTGATAGCTGTCATCCAATATTTGAGGGGCTGTCGTAGGGGATCAACTTATGTTCCATGTACCTGAGGGCAGGACAGAAGTAACATTAAAGAGAGATCCAATCTAATTTCCTAACAGTGAGAACAATTAATTAATGAAACAGCTTGCCTTCTAGAATTGTAGAATTATGTATGCTCCATTGCTGGAGGTTTTCAAGAAAATATTGGACAACCATTTGTTCAGGATAGAATAAGGTCTCCTACCTTGGCCAAAAAGATACATTTTGGAAGCTTAAAGAATCGATTGGGCTCTTCTACTGCTGCTCTCTAACATTTTTGGCTGAAAAATAGGAAGTTTAGGATTAGAAGCCATTGATAACCCAATTCATCACAAGTTTGAATCACTTTTAAAACCATCTAAACTGGTGACCACCACTCAATGCAAGTGAATTTGACAGATTAGTTGTATATAAGCTAAAATAATAAACTAATAAAGGAGAATATTTGTAGCTCAGGGTTGAAATTAGGGGTCTTTGGTGCTCTCTGAGCTTGGTTTTTTTCTTGCAGACTGATGATATTACCTAGTTTGGGTAATGAAACTTCTGCAAGAAAACAACCAAGCTCAGAGAGCATCAAAGATCCTTCAAAATAGCAAATGACAGTAAAGGAAAGAATCAAAATGACTGGTGCAGCTATATAAATTATATTCCTAATTATCTATGAAGTTGATGGACAATGTGTGCATATAGGTTGGTGTAATATGTTCATCATTAGAATATAAAGATAAGATAATCTTGCCCTTTTAATCTTTTTTCCTCCCCCCCATTTTCATCATTGAAACAATGAATGACTTTTCAATTTTTGATTCAAAAGTACACTTTAAGTAACATAGACAAAGGCTTTAATACATAGAGTATGGGGAAAATTGAAGAAATGATAAGGGGAAGTGATATTAAAAATTTTCTCTGCTACTGTCACCCGCTCCAAGCAGAATAATCTCTATATATTAGTTATCAAAATTATAAGAAAAAGCAGATGACAGTGATAATGACTATAAAAACAATAGCAACCACGTCTAGGATTTTTATATCACTGGGAAGAAAAATAGGATTCTATCTTTTTGGAGGGCAAGAGTGAGTTATAAACCAATTATATTGTATATGTGTATGCCTTATGTAAAAATGGAATGGACTGAGATGACTATCGTGCTGTGATGTCTTCTAAGAGGCATAAGTGACTTGTTCAGGTTTTTCTCCCTAGGGTTAAGCCTTCTGCCTTCAGAGCGTGCCATGATTGCTGATACCATTAAAAGAAATGAGAAGAGGACTAAGTGGTAAGAGAACTCTCTTAAACATTGGCATATATAGAGAGGGTAACAGGTAGCAAGCAATGAAGCCTGTGTTGTAATGGTTACAGTGCAAACATTGTCCATTATATATTTGCATGCAATATCATCATGCAAGTAGAAAAGAACAGAAGTTGCCTTATGACATCACAACACACATTTTGACATTTGGGCATCAGTATGGTTAGGACTGGATAATTGTATCCTAAAGAACATCAATCTTCCTTATTTGGAGACACTTCTCCATCTTATAAAGCTTTCCAAATGTGAACAAATTTGATGGGACTAAACATGATGATATGTTATTAATACTCTCTGCTATAGATAGGTGGGCAATAGCTTTTTAAAATAGTTTAACTTGAGAGAAAAATCAGGAAACATGCCTTGGCATGGATTTATAACATTAAAATATTATAAATATACTTATTTGCTCACCATGAAATAATTAAGAATGTTTTCATATCAATAATGTAAAACCAAATATCAACAGGTTATCAGATGATTAGTGAGGGGAGCTGGATAGTAGCATTATTATTTGGTTTTCTTGTTTCTAACTCATCTAAAATTTTGTTTAGCAAATATTTTTGTTCAGACATAAAATGCTGCCAGGAAGAAAGAAAATACAAAATCTGGCATAGAGAGTTTTTTCTTTTCAAAATAGGGATGGTCCAATCAAGTGATCAAAATGTGGCATTTTTACATTACTTTTAATAACATTCCACAAAATTTTAATTCACTTTGTGCCAAGGATATGTGGTAAGTGGGACGGGTAGAATTGACAATCTACTGTTGGAAGGAAAATAATTATTTCCATCACAGAATTGCAACTCTTCTCAACTATTGTTTCTTTATTTCCCCCACAAAGGTTTGGCACCAGCCGCAGTCAGTCAATCCAAACCGTTTTCATAGATTACCTGGACGAGCTTGCTGCAGCCTTGGGATCAAAGCCAGATCTATTCTCACTGCTATTGTGGGATCCCATACTGGCCTGGGCCATGTTTTTTGGACCCTGCAACCCTTTTCAGTTCCGTTTGAAGGGGCCAGGAAAGTGGACTGGAGCCAGGGATGCCATCCTCACCCAGAACGAGCGGATCATTAAACCCACAAAAACACGAGTTGTGAGCAATTCTTCAAACCACACTCTGTTCTCTCTGCTCACAGCCATTGGTTTCCTTGGTATCTTGGCTGCATTTTTCTTTTTCCTTATTCAGCACTGATCTTCACCTTAAAACACATTAGTGACAATTGCTTATGTCCAAACTCTGCTTTCTATTCCTCTAATGACATCATCACAAGCTTACCATTTATACCAGGGGTGTCAAACTCAATTTCATTGAGGGCCGGATCAGCATTGTAATTGTCCTCCAGGGGCATGGTCAGAGCAGGCAATTGGGTGTGACTCAGGGGCATGGCTAGTTTGATGACTCACGTGGGTGGTGCCTGTGGGCACCAGGCGGGATTGAGAAGGGAATCCAGGGGTCTCTGGTGGGTGGGGTGGAGGATTCGTCCTGTGGGATGAGGTGAGGCAAGGCAGGGGGCAGGGCAGCTACAGCCAGAAACCATTGGCCACCACGCACTTCCCTTGTGTGCGAGGGAATGGTTTCCAGCTGTAGCCACAGCCTGCGGGCCCCTTAGCTGGTGCACACTGCAGCTCCGGAGCCCACTACCAGCACTGGGCTGGCTGTCCATGTGGACCGCTGGATGCGCTTACTCCGTCTCACTGCCTGTTTTGGCTTGTGGCTGGAGAGCAGTTGCCGCTGGTCATCAACTCAGCCCCTTCATGGGTCATGCCTTTGTGTGGAATGCATGCCCCTCATCTTGGTCTCATGCACCGAATGCACCTTGGCCTTGCGGGGTGCTGCTGCTCAGCACACCCACCCAGCCCGAAGGAGGCGAAGCAGCCAGCTAGAAAGGCCGAGTAGAGGTGATAGAGCACACCCAGGCCCAGCAGGCAAAAGATGGCCACTGCAAGTGGGAAAAACCAGATCTCCATCAGTGCCACAGCCTCCCAGGCCCAGTAGAGATGTGGGGAAGGCATGCAATCCTGGCTGAGCCTGGGCAGCCATGGTGCAGATGGAGATCCAGCTTTCCCCATTTGCGATGGCCGCCTTTTGCCTGCTGGGCCTGGGTATGCTCTACCACTCTACTTGGCCTTTCTAGCTGGATGCTTCACCTCCTTCGGGCCGGGTGGATCTGCTGAGCAGCAGCACCCCGCAAGGCCAAGGTGCATCGGGTGCATGAGACCAAGATGTATCAGGTGCATGAGGGGAATGCACTCCACACACACACACTCCAGGCAGCGACACAGCAACTTAATGGACCTGCGCAAGCTGCTGGCAGCCTTGGTGGTGGCAGCAACCCATAGCAGTCCAAGGTGCGATGGGTGCACAAGAGGAACACACTCACAAGCCAAGGGCAAGACCTGCGAAGGAGCCAAGGAGGTGACCAGCAGTGACCTGCTTTCCAACTGCAAGCCAAAACAGACAGTAAGAGTAGGTGGGCTGATGGTGCCTGGCAGCAGAAGCCGCCACCCACCCTCCTCACCTTGTCTTGGCCCATGGCAGTGGCAGTAGCTGGAGGCAGAGGCACAGGGGTGGGGCATGCAGTCTGGCCTGCTGGATGCACTGGGCAGCCACCTGTCCTGTCCCAGCCAGGTGCATCTGGTGGTCTGTATCACATGCCTCCCCACCAACTCTGCCTGATGCCAGTACTGCCATTCCTGCTTCTTGGAGGGCCAACTGTGGAGCCCCTGCTGCCGGACATTTCCACCCCACACACACATACCTGAAAGGCTGGTAAGTACAGCCATCCTAGAAATGGTAAGGGGCTGGCCCAAGTTGCTTTGGCCCATCCCATCCCAGTGGGCACGTGTGCATACAGGAGGCAGGGGGCGCACACATGCACAGGCCTGGCTCACCCCATCCAAGCATGCGTGCATGAGTCCACCTCCTGTGCGCATGTGTACCTGCTGGGATAGGATGGGCCAAGCAATACAGGCCAGCCCCTTACCCAGGGTGCGATTCAGTTTTTTTTAACAACAGGTTCTTTGGGTGTGCCCTAAATACCAATCATTAGATTAAAAATACCTGCAAGCCAGAGTTACAAATCAGGCAGGGTGCCAGAGCACCTTGGGAAATGAAAATAGTTAAAATGCAGTGATAACTATCAAGCAGCCAACTCTTCTCATAAAGTGAAACCCTTTAGCAGAGAGGTCATTTAAGCTCTCCAAAAAGAGCACACCCAGGAAAAGCAATCCTTAGATCCATTTGCACCACTTAAAAATACCAGCTGGTCTCACTCACCTCACAAGATATCCTAAGGAAATCACCCAGATTTAAGTAAAGGTCACATGCCCCCCAGAAAGGCAGTAAAAAAAATCAGTGCCAAGCTTGCATCCTGCCTTTTGGAAGTATACCCCCAAAAGGACAGTGCCAGATAGCACTAAAGCAGTGAGGAAGACCCCCTCCCCAGATAGAAAAAAAACCCGATGAGGCAGGAAAAAATTCAAACACAATACAAATAATTAAATCACAACAGTAGCTGCTGCTTGTTGAAGCTGAATAGGGAAAGTTATCCCTCCAATAAACACAGGATTAAACATCACCAAGCACAAAATTAACTTTTACCAAAAAACAGTTTTAGACCAAAACTCAGAAAGGGTATGTAAACTCAAACTCAAAGAGCTTGGTTTTTACGCTAAAACTGCCATCATGGTTGATGTAGTATAAAGTAGAGCTTAATGTTTTATTCAAATTCACCTAATTTGTCTATACAATTAATCCTGGACCAATAAATAAAGATCTTTTACTTCTTAACTGACAAAGTGCAATATGTAGTGGGAATGAAAAGTTTAAAGCCGATGTTTTTTCAATTGCCTTCAGTCAGACAATTTTCAGATGGTTGGTTGTGCAGATCAAAATGACTCAGACATACATGCATACATCAGATGACTCTGTAGCTTTAAGCTTATGAAAACAAGGAAAGCCTTTTTTCCTGTGTTTCTCCATCAATTGGTTTTATACAGATTTAGTTTCCCTGTGCTTAGTTGGTGATCTCTACCCTACTAGGAGTGTCATGGTTGGCCTGCTTCACAGCCCAAATTCTCCTATTACAGCAATATTGATTCGACTGGTCAAAGGAACCAAATATCAGGAATCTTAATGTCAATGATTTTAAGGAGGCTGAGATCAGGTGCTGTAGCAAGCAAAAACATGGGTTCATCATATATTATTTCCTCTTCAGTTTCTCTGAAGAGCTATTACTCTTCAGTCAACCTATTCACCAAAGCACCAGAAGGAAGGACAAGAAGTAACAGATGGAAACCTAGCAAGGAAAGATCCAGTCTAGAACAAAGGATCAGTTTCCTGACAATGAGAACAATTAATCAGGCTTGCCTTCAGTGATTGTGGGCGCTCCATCACTGGTTTTTAAAAAGAGAACTGACAGCCATTTGTCTGGAATGGTATAGGGTCTCCTACTTGAGCAGGGGTTGGCTTAGAAGACCTCCAAGGCCCTTCCATTTTTGTTATTCTATATACTGTAGAAACAAGTGTTGCTTTATCTGTTAAAAGATAACCCTCAGAACAAAGGTTAATGAAACTATACAAAAAGTATACAGTTTATTCCAAATTTTCAAAAAGATACCAAACGGTGTGGATGTATTGGTGGTGGGGGAGTGTTTCCTGGGAGGAAGAGAACATAGGAATTGCTTTTGGATTTATGTTTCAGATGTACAAAGTGATATTCGGAAATTTCACATTAAACATCATTGATTGCATGATAGATGTCTATTCAACATCTGCCTCTGAAGAGTAACTGCTGATTGACTGGCGGTTCTTGGTGACCCAATACACTCACAAGCATGTAAATTTGTCTATGCCCACTGGATATGCTAGCTTAGTGATAGAAGTTTGTATGAAATAGGAAATGTATTTTGTTTTTCAATTTCAATTTCATTGTACTGGAATGAAAATTGGCTTAATTTGTCTTTCATTCAGGAGCCATAAGAGTAAGTGAGATGGCAGTCCATGATGAATTTTACTATTTAGTCAGCTTGTAGACAGATTTATAAAATGAATATTTTTTAAAAGGTTGACAGGGCATATTAAGTATTAACATACTCACCTGCAATTGGTCGGTCCGTGGCAGCGGGAAATTTGAAGAGCCATCACTGGCCACAGCCGCGAGCAGCCCGACTGTAAAAGGGCTGCCATGGTTTCTTCAGCACTCAGTCCCAGAATGAAGTAAAGACAAATGGTTACTACGCTGCTGTCCTGAGTCTCATTCCCACGATCCAACACTGGAGACGAGGGTGGGATACTGAGACAAAGGAAACCAGCGAGCACATGATGACTGACAAAAACCGGCAACCCATTGAGACGAAATGGCCGGAAACCACACACCACCCGCACCGTTCGATCCAGCAACCAAAGACTGGGAATTGTACATTGACCAATTCCTCATGTTCCTCAAAGGGAGCAACCTCAATAACATATCTGAACACAGGAAGAGAGCTGTCTTCCTCACACATTGCGGTCCCACCGTATTCAAGATGGACAAAGTGTTAGTGGCACCCACCAACGTGAAAACGATGGTCTGGCTGGATCTGGAAAGAATACTGAAGGCTCACTACACACCAATCGTTTCCTGCCTCATAAAACAACACAAATTTTATCGGCGGAACCAAAATGAAGGCGAGAGCATCAGCGATTTCATTGCAACTCTAAGGGACATCGCCGGAGCATGAGAATTCCTAAACATGGATGAAGCCATGAGAGACCAAGTGGTCCTGGGACTGAGAGATCTTACACTACAAGGTCGACCATGAACAAAACCTAAAATAACACTCAAGGAAGCAATAGAAGAGGCTACTGCAGCAGAAGCAACGCAGAAATCGGCGGCCGCCATGCAGAAAATGAATAAAGTGCCACCGGAAACCCCCCAAAACACTACCACAACCCACCACGAGGACATCGAGTCCACATCAGAAGACACTGAGGAAGGAGAAGGGTTAAATCAACTCTGTTTGGAACAGGGCAGAAGGGACCAGAACATAAAAAGGAAGGGATTTCGTTGCACTGGCTGCGAGGGGAACCATCCACGTTCCGAGTGCCGTTTCCTAGATGCAATCTGCAAGCATCGTGAATGGTGGGGACATATTGCTAGGGCACGCTGAGCAAGAAAAAACTACGGCCCCAGACAAAAATGGAACACACACACACCCCGAGAGAGGGAGAAACGAACAGGGAGCAATTGGAACCAAAACAACTGAAACAGGTGAGGAAAGGAGGCAAGCAACGGAAGAGATGAAACACACCAGACGGTGACCATCGGACACTCCAACACGACAAACACCAGGAAAGTCTATGTCCAGGTAACCATAGAGTGCCAACCCTGTCGGATGGAAGTGGATTCCAGCTCATATTTTTCAATGGTATCATGGGACACTATAAAAAGATTGATACCAAACATAAACTGGGAAGATCGAAAGACGAACACTAATGCTGAAAGACTACCAGGGAAACAAAATACCCCTAGTGGGCACCGGAAAATTCAAGGTAACATTCAAAAAATACACCAGAGTCCTTCCACTAACCATAGTTGACCGGAATCGGCCAAGCCTACTGGGACTTGAATGGTTTGCACTTTTGGGAATCGAAGACACAGGAATAAACAATATCACCGAGACAGAGTGGAAAGGGGACCTGATGGAAGAATTCCGAAACATGTTTGACAGACAGCTGGCTAAGTACCAGGGGTCCCCAATTTCCTTTAATCTAAACCCAACCATAGCCCCTATAAGATTAAAGGTGAGGCAGGTTCCTTTCGCACTCAAACCAAAGATCGATGAGCAATTGGACAAGGGGTCCTAGAGCCAATTGACCATGCAAAGTGGGAAACCCCAATTGTTACGCCAATTAAACCAGATGGGTCTGTGTGCAGCTTCGGAAACTACAAAGCAACCCTTAACCATGCGCTCCAACAAAGCACATACCCTGTCCCAGTGGTACAGCATCTATTACATTCCCTT